CCATAGTTCTCCTTTAAAAACATCCCCCGAAAATCGGGGGTCGTCTTATACGCCGGGTATACAATACCGCTGGATGTGCGGTAACACTGTATGCACGGTAGCTTAGGCTACATACAGTATACCGCGCTGAGCCAATCACGGCGAGCGATGTATTCTATTAATGAGTACAAAGCCTGCCGTGATTGGCTCAGTGCGGTATATTGTATGTAGCCGAAGCTTCCGTACATACAGTATTACCGCACATCCAGCGGGCTGACAGATTAGCCTCCCTGGCGGCCTGATTATTTATTTATTTTTTTTCCGTTTTTTTTTTTAACTTTTAAAATTCCCGCCGGATCCGCCCCCCTGCGACGCGGACGCTCGCAAGGGACGGAACACGGAGGAGGACACAGCGGTGATCGTGGACAAGGTAAGAGACTGTAATCCCGAGTGTGGCTCCGGGTTACCGCTTATGGTACTGAAAATTAACCCCCGAGCCACACTCGGGAATACCGCCAAGAAGGTTAGTGGGTGTATTGAAACATTATTATACGCCCATTATAGCCCAAAACCTATGTTTTAACAGAAAAATTAGGGGGTCGCCTTATACGCCTATTCGCCTTATACGCCCGGCAAATACGGTATCATGTTCTTGATAGAAGGGCTGGTCTCATCAAGAGCCTTGTTACTGTCTATGAGCGTATGTGGGTTGCTGAACATCCTTCAGCCAAGTTTGATGAGACAACAAAATGCACGGTAGCCTACACATGTTTGGGATCCCCAGTGGAAATGTGTTGGCTGCGGCTCCAGTAATTAAACATTAATGCTTCATCGGGTTTGTGAAGAACTTTGCTGTATTCAAATGCAGACGCTTTATATGCCAAGCCTTCCTTATTCCTTCCTTTCTGGCCTAGATCAGCGGTTCTCAACCTGTGTAACCTCAGGACCCCACATCTGTCCCTGGTCGTTAAGTCACGACCCATGTCGCATTGCAATGGGGTGCCGCGCGTTCCGGTGCGGGTGTATGAACTGTGGGTGGGGGGGGGCGTTTGGGGTACCATTCAAATGAATGGCAACGCAACACACCTCCCACAACAGAATGCACGGTAGCTGCGATTGCACGGTACTATGCGATTAATGCACCGTACTAGTGTGAACGGGTCCTCAAAAACACTGACACAATCTGAGACACATACACAATCCAAAATGTTTAAGATTTAATAAAATTTTTATTAAGGTCCACCCATTCATTCATTTGTTTACTTAGCATCTTACTGGAGAGGACATCAGTCTGTGGGCACCAGAAGAAGGGCAGTTAGTGCTATTGGGTGGGCAGCTGAAGATCATACCCTAGACCAGTGGTTCTCAACCTGTGTAACCTCAGTACCCACATTTTTCCTTGGTCATTAACTCGCGACCCAAGTCACACTGCAATGAAACACGCGGCATTGAGGTACCGCACGTTTCGGGTCGATCGAACTGTGGGTGGGAGGTGCGTTTGGGGTGCCATTCAAAAGATCCATCCCAGTCTCCATACCTTAAGAGACCTGGAGTGGATCCTCAGCCTGGGGTCCAGCGTGGGCAGCTGTGCTGTGACGGAGCTCCATCCATATGTGCGTTGCTTGTACAACTCCCTTGCGCGCCCTGTAGAGGTGCCGGGAGCCAGAATGTGATGTCACTCTGGTCCAGGCTCCTCTTCAAGACATGTGAGGGAGCTGCAAGCAATGCACGTATGGTTTGAGCGGCCGTACTCAGCCGTACTCCGCCCTATGCTCATCTCAATTGCAGGTCCGTAGGGGTGCGTGTTTCCTGGCTTGGACGCAGACAGGATCCATCCTGTCAGAGTACGAATACGCTCACCCGCACCCGCATCACCACCTGTTCTTCCCGGGAGCTGCCCGGTACGGCCTTGCACGGAGCTCTACGTGTGGGCCGATTCCAGCGTGAATGAGGGCTAAAGCAGAACTCCTTCGTTATTGTCACTGTTGTACTAGCTTCCTATAGTGACATTATAGATAATAACAATGATGGAGTACATGATATTGTATTATGTAAAGAGTCTGAGTCGTGTCCTTTGTCCACAATGATTGTATTGCTTTTGTTCTGTAAAGTCTTTGCTGAGTTTAATTCTTCTTTCCGTTGCCATTGACAGCTGGAAAGTG